CTTTCGTGAGACCACCGGGACTGATACAGCTGCCCAGGTAAACAAATTTGTCTACTACCTCAATCGGTTCATCCGCAAGCATGAGGCTAGGGTTTGAGCCCACCCAATCTTGCAGTAACACTTTACACTTTGCAGGTGTGAAGCGCATGCCGAACCGCGAGGCAGAATTATTCAGATTATTTACACTGATGTCATGCTGTCGATGATGATGATGATTATGTGGGGAATTAATACAAAGTATCACACTAACCAATTTGTTCAGTAGATTTTTTGGTCATTACAAGAGCACGAGACAAGAGTTTGATGCTATCCAGGGTTGAGGCAAAACGCTATTGGACGCAAGGTAACCACTCAGCTAACAAAATAGTCACATCCACACTGTACGCGTACTCCAGGTCTGTCAGAAGTTAAATTCATAGTACTTTGAGCTGGCCAGAGGCGCGACCCCGCCAGTATATTAACGGAAAATAACCCTATACGACTTCACTAGATACGAACTCAACCAACAACAAAACCGTAGAACTCTGCGCCATGATGAGAGCTAGCCGGTTAACCATACGTGACCTAGTACCTCGGGACCAGAGGAGAGATATAATACGGAAACTTACGTTGTGAGAGAAACTCTACACGTCCGTTAGACAAGGTGTTGTCTTTCAACTCTGAGGACATGTCAGACAGTTGAGCACAGAGCCAAAGTATCAACGACAAGTTTTCTGGGGACATGAGCACAGTTTCTGCGATAGATGAAAAATGGAAAAAAATGTGCGCAAAAACTGATGAACAGGAAAATTAGCGATGCAAAGAACGACATTCACATACGTTTCAAACAAGACAATACAATTGTGCTTCCCTCACCAATACTTTCTTCAGAAAATAGCCGCAAGAAAAGTTGCTACTGCAAAAAACAGATCAAGTTCTTGTGAATCGGTCGGATGTTTTTTAGTAAACCTGGAACCTTAAAAACAATTAAAACAACAAATATGTATCTGATCATAAATCAGCATATTTCGCACTGAAGGTTTCATTCTCCAGTGTCGAGCTAGTTGATTTTCAGTGGTGCGAATTGGTATAGTCTCCGCCTTCAAAGGACTGTCTTTCTGGTTGAAACACTGTGGTTTATCGCTTTCCGTGTCCCGCGTCTTATATTGCAACCTGTCTTGACCGTACCCGAGTCAGTCAATGATAAGGGAAAAAACTCTGAGTCTCTCCCCTTGTGTTCAGTCAAACGTTAATTAAACTTGCAGTTGAATTAGTACCGTACTCCACCTGCATTAGAGTTTCGGAAGAAAAACAAGTGAACAGGTTCACATCCAAGGCGTTATCGTATCCCCAAAAGCATATAGTCTGTATCTGATAATATGCCATGCAATCATACGGTCGCATTAGAGGTGCCGTTCCGGACCACATCGGCGGAGAGTGTGTTTTGAGACACATCCCTTCCGTATGCTGAAAACCAAAGACTGGCTAGCTCATCATCATCATCATCGACACCATGACCCACAACCGAAACACGCTTTCTAACTGCCTCGTTATGGATTCACCGACACCAATCCACGCGAGCTATGGTTCTGAGACAACGATTGTCAAAAAACTGAAGACGTCTCAGGTCCGCTGCTCGAGTAGGCCAAGTCTCACAGCCATACAACA